TGCTGGTTAGAAACTTTGTCACAATGGCGAAGGCCTCCAGTCGGACGGAAGCTCCAAATGCCGTCTGTTTCTTTCTGATCTTCCGCAGAACAAAGCAGGTGAAAGAATCAGTCCCGGGAAGTTGGGTTCACCCTCTCAGCGACACTGTCGGCGTGTAAATCTTTTAAACTTCCGTCCCGCGGAGCATTCGGGAAAGCGGCTCGGGTGAAAACAAACTGTCTGCATCCATCTACTGTGTTTACACGCCGCGCAGTCCTTTCCACACACTCACAGAACGAGTTCTTCTCAATCTCTTATTCAGCGCTGACACCTCAGCTTTTAATAACTCAGCTCCTTTGCCGTCGTCTGTCTTTGCTGTAAAGGAGCGGAGAGGCCTGCGACTGTGATTTACGGGACCCGAGTATAAAACACGGGGCTGATAACAAATGCATGGAAATAGAACTCTGCAGGTGTTGGCGCCGGTGGGTTTGTGCGCCTCGAAAGATCCCAAGATCATTCCTCTTCTTCTTCGACGACGCCACCAATCTCTTTCTCTCCCTCCATCTCTCCGGATGCCGTCTTTTTGTTTCGACCCAAATCCTTCACAGTTTTCTCTTCCTGTCGATGTTTTCCCTCCAAAAGCTGCTCGCATTCTTCACCGTATGATTAAGACGAAGCAGTTGTCAAAACGTCGAGCCAGACTTTGTTGAGAAAAACACCAAGATGATACATTTGCCAGAAGGGGAACCTATAAAACATGTAACATGCTGTGAATTTAATCCATCTATGGAACTGGGAGGTTGAGGGCGGAGATGGAGGCATCAACATGAACATCCTCTTGATGTGTGTGTGGTGGAGATGCTCTTCACTGACTTCATACTGTATGAAATGAAGGTGAGGAGGCGGCGGGTTGGTGAATTCCTTTTTGTTTGAACTTGAACTTCTTGTGATGATGAACAGGGGACGTCTGCGTCTAACTGAGGAACGCACAATGCAAAGCTCACACCACAGACTGAAACAAATAACAGAGCCACAGTCCCATTCCTTGGCTTTTTGTACTGGTTCACTCCCAGTTCAAAAACAGCAGGTCGTTTGACTGGATGAAATCGGGAAACACTTTTAATTTGTCTTTTTTTTACCAGTCGGTGATCTCAGAGACCAGATCATTGGGCTCTGAGGTGTGGACACCATGAGGACACCATGAGGACACCATGTGAACACCATGAGGACACCATGAAGACACCATGAGGACATCATGAAGACACCATGAAGACACCATGAGGACACCATGAAGACACCATGTGGACGCCATGAGGACACCATGAGGACACCATGTGGACACCATGAGGACATCATGAAGACGCCATGAAGACACCATGAGGACACCATGAGGACACCATGAAGACACCATGAGGACACGTCATCGAACAAAGCTGCTGAGTTGAAACCACAACATTTATTCATTTAGTTGTATCTCAATTAAAGTTTTTAGTTAACAAAATAAAAAGTAATTTACTTTGAAATTCACAGGAAATCGTGGGAAATGAACTGTGTGAGCAAAGCATGTCTCTAAGCACCTTTCTACCATCCAACACGGTGGGATCACACGCGTCGCTCGGAAGCATCTCGGGTGGGAAACAGCTTCTCTCTGATCGGACTCATCTGACCACTAAAGTCTCAGAAGACAAGTCGGTGTGAGACACACTCGCCTTTTCCTTTTTCACAGAAACACCTGAGAAAAGACAAAGTATCCATCTGGTTGGAGAAATGACAGAACCGATAGCAGAGAAGGTCCGACAAGGTGGACTCGCTGAGCTCAAGACCACCACAGCCTTGTGCGCTCGCTGACCTCCGGAGGGGAACCCGGGACTTGTGCTGTGCTGTGACACACATGACAGGAACGTGACGGGTCCACGTCCTCTCCGCTCCGCCACAAGCAGTAAACCTCTCCGTCAACACCTCAGCGCCTGAGCTGCGGATGAAGCTGCAGCAGTTCCTGCTGATAACTGTTTGTTTGTCCTCTTATCTAGATCAGATAGTACGTAACAGCGCGCTCCGTGTCGCCGTAAAAGGATTTTCGGGTGCCAAACATTTTCCTTTCAGGGTATAATCACGCAAATCTTGAAACATACAATTATATCCTGGTAGAAACCTGCTGCTTCCTTCTTCTGCACATTTATCTCCAACAAATGAAGAAATGATCTGAATGCAAAGTAATGTCATCACCCGTCACGACCAGGTACCTTCAGAAGACAACGTGCACACACACAACCACACACAATAAATGAGCCAATAATAAGGAGCTGGACCCTGATTACAGCAGACCTGAGACCTCCGGACCACGTGTGTCCACAAAGCCTGCAGGTATGTCTGCGTGTAGACCTGCACGCGTCTTCTGTCTCTGCTCAGGCTCCCTGGAAAGGTCGGGTAGGGATTCCACCGGTGTTTGTCTGAGGAGCTCAGGGTGCAAAGCAAACAATCAGGGTCTGTGCAGCCGTGGATATTTGTCACTTTACTCCCCTTTTTCCGCTGGGGGGACCCACGGTTTCCCTTATCTAATCTAATCCTTTTTGCTTCACTTCATCTTCACTGCGCTGCTGGTGTGTGTGTGTGTGTGTGTGTGTGTGTGTGCACGGTGGCGTTAGGGGTCTTTAAGAGTCTGAGGCAGAACATCTGCTTCCAGGCCTCCGTAGCTCCGCGGTTCCCTTGAAGCCGGCTGACCTACATCACGCCGGGGTTCCAGGGTAATTCAGCTGCATGCGTGAAACATCGTTTTTGTCCTGATTATTTTCATCTGCTGCGTGTCGACCGTGTCGTATGAGTCCGTCATCCACGCCGAAGAATCCACCAGTCGGGTTCCGTTCCGCTCTGTTAACCCTTCGCCTCCCCGCTGCCGTCCCGCTGTTTATGTTCTGATCATATTAATCTGTTTTTATACCACGAGGAAACATCCCAGTTCATTACTTGCAAACGCATTTGGGAATTAATGTTCTATGTTTCAATTCTCAAAGAGGCATTTTTATGTGAGCTGTGGTAGAATTGGCAGAAAAGCCCAAAGATCTTTTTGCCTGCGCTAACTCTAATTTCTGTTCTTTCCTTTGCACTCTAAAAAGAATGGACATCCCAAACCTCCCAAATATGTGATTGTTATTTCTTCTGCGTGTTTCCCTTTGATTTCATCATCGTGTTTCGGTTCTTCACTAAATGTTTTCCCTTCGACTCCTTCAGAATAAAAGCAAACAAGGACCCGACAGCTCTTCAGCTCGGAGCCTTTTCAGCCTCAAACCGCTCAATCATTCCAGGTAGCTTTCATAACACGCGTGTGCTTGTGCCCCCCCCCCCCCCGTCCGCTCCCTTTCATTCTCTCAAGGTCATTCTCTGCTCAAAGGTCAGGGCAGCGGGCATCTGTCAGTTACACGCCACCTCAGAAGCGTCTTATGTAAGATGCCCCCTGTCACAGACGTGCTTTACCCAGAGGGGGGGTCCAGGTTCAGAGAAGGACCCACCACGGGGGGATATGTTCCTGGTTGGTCTTATCGTGGAGAAACCAGACAGATGGCGCGGGCAACTGGCAGGAAGAGGAAAGGAGGGATGAGATGGAAGACGAGGAGAAGGAAGACAGTGTTCACAGGGTACATGGGTCTCAGTGGACATTGCTTCAAGGAGACGTGTGAGTGTCTCTGTCTTTGTCCCTGTCTGTCTCCCCCCCTGCCTCCCCTGAGTCCCTGCAGCTACATGCTCGCTTGCACGGACCATCTGGGAGAAAAGGGGAGCCGCGGTGCCAGCTTCCTACGCCGGCTGATCTGTGGGCTTTGGAGACCTTCTTCCCCTGCTTCAAACCCAATGAACACAATGGATGAATGTATGCCACTGTGTCTCCAGCAGAGAGGCTGCTGCTGTGGACGCGAGGCGGACGGAGTGAGTGGCAGGTGCAGAGCAGCACTTCTCTGCCCACAAACATACATTTGAAATGTGAGCATTAAAGGAAATGAACCAAGACGCACCGGCCGGGTCCCTTCTGCTGTTTGAACATCACAGCGATTTGAAATGGATATTTAATATTTGCTGTTTTGCTTTGATGATGATAATGTGCTCTCGTGCTTTGTGCCAAAAGCATGTAATTAAAGTGAAGAGGAGGAAGTCGGTCTATCCAGAGAGTCCTGGGAACTAAAACAAGAAACAATACCAAAGAAACAGGAGGTTTGCTGCTGGTTGGATTCTGGCTTGATTCAGTTCACAGTGCTGTCAATGCCAGTCAACAGTAATCTATAATGTATAATGAAATATAATGCGTTGATGAGGACTGGTTATTGCAGCCACACTATAAGCTACCCACGTGAACAGAAAGAGCTCCTTGTGGAAGCTGCTTCTGGGTCGGTTGTTTTTGCAGGAATCATTTCCTTCTCTTGTAGCTCGTCCTCTAAGCAGGTTGAGGTTTACTGCTGTGATGGATGTGAAATGCTCTTATCTTCGGGCTTATTTACCAATCCACCCGATACAATATTCTCCCGTGCATGTGGAGGCAATCTGTCTTGTTCAGAACTGATATGAAGCCTTCCAGGAAACCTTGTTTCAGTTTTACAGGGATTTCCTTATAAATAACACCTGATTTGTGGCGAAGCCGTCGTTTAGACCTGAATCTCTTTTCACGTCTCTCCTTTATTCATTCACCTGCAGGGACGGGACGCTGTCGTGAAGAGGTTTGGAGATGGAATGGGGGGGTAGAGGCCTCACTGGCCGGGATGGAGGTCTGAGGCGTAGAGTAACTCTGCCCTCTGCAGGGAGGCATCGCAAAGGAAACACACACATACATAAACCGTATTAATAATGTAATTATTGTAACAAGCTCATCTGTTTGGAACCACGTGAAGCCGTTTGTTCATTCTCCTCTCTGGTGGAGGACGGAGCATCGCGCTCACACACACGAAACACGGGCGGCGTTCGCCCGATCGAACAGGAAGCAGCAGCATGGGGACAGTTTTACAAAGACGCTACTGTCCCTTTAAGACGCCCCCGTCTCCTTGGTTACAGACCGGAAGTGACGGCGCGCCTTTAGCGTGTCCACATATGCGACTTCGAACATTTCCGTCCAGCTTTTCTCCTCGGCGTCCCCCCCCCCACGAAGAGGTGAGTCCCGAATCCACGCCGCGTCACGTGACGTCACGCGCCGCGTGCATTCATTCCTCCGTCAGCCTCTCTCTGCTAGCTGGCGTGCTAACGCGTGCTAGCTGTCCGCGAGAGTCGCTGTCCATTGTGCTAGCAGAGAGAGACAGAGAGACAGACACCTAATGTGTGCGTGACCCCCCCCCCCCCCCTTGTGTCCCGAGGATGAGCGCGGAGGACAGGAGGCCCGCCAGCTGCAGCATCAAGCCGCCGGTCTACCTGCACATCGGGGACGCGGACGCGGCGCACTCCGGTGTGTGCGTGCTGGATGTCTGTCTCCCCCTGGGAAAGCCCGTGGACGTAAGCCCCGCCCCGCCGAGACGCGCGTGAGGAGACAGAATCTGTCCCGTGGTCCATTTGACGCGTCGCAGAGGACACGTCGTCGTGTGACACAATAACACGAAGCTCGAAGTGTTCGTCCGTTACAGCAGCGACTCGCTACACAAAATACCGTCAGTTTCATTCTCTTTGCTAAAATCAACCGTCAAAGTACCATTTTCTACATACATGTTACACACATGTTATACACACACACACACACAGCATGTTTAGATGCTGCATTGGTCACCCACAGACACTTGAGACATTTGGAGCCGAGGGACTCAGAGACAGCAGGAAACCGAGGCTGGTTGCGTGTTCTGGTTCCACACTGGATCATCATGACTCAAACATGCTGCACAGTCCACATGAACGAGTGGCGCACAAGGATGACGTGGCAGTTATGGCGTTTCTTTCGTTTCGGCTGTTTCAGATTCAGGAAATCACCTTTAAGAACTACTACACGGCCTACGTGACCGTCCGCCTGCTGAGGAGGAGCCCCGGGCACGAGGCCCCCGCCAAGTGGAGCACGGCCCTGAGGGACCTGCCGCTGATGGACAACCCCCACACCGAGGGGGGCTCCCAGGACTACTGCTCCGTCCACAGGGCGCAGGTAGGGAGGTGGGTCTGTTTGGGACAACAAACCCATATATGCCCATACCTCTTCTACACATCCCTCCTGTTGTGGATTCATTTATTCGCAGCTTTAACTATTTCCTAAGTCTCTGTCCCTCCTGTTCTGTCTCATGAGACCTTTGTCCCACTGCTGTCTCTATTGGTGTCCACTGCTGTCTCCTTAGTGTCACGATCACTCCTGTCTTTCCACATCTGTGCACCCTCGCCTGCTCGGCGTCTCACTGTATCTGTGTGACGGCCTCCTGTTGGCTTCTCCTTTCCCTCCGTTAACTCATCTACCTGATATAGAAATATTTCTCTACCTACACAACACCCGTGAAATGATGATAACATGAGTATATTTTCCCTCGACAGCCCTGAATGTATTTCAATGTGAGTTGTGAGCGGGCCAAAGACAGGCTGTGATTGGTCCTGTCTGACGGGTGATGAAGACGTGTGTGAATGTGAGGTGATGGTCAGAGTTGCTCTACAGTGTTTAATCCCCTTGTTGTGTTGCTGTTGGTCTCGAGCTCATTTGTATGCAGACTAAGACTGATTGTGAGTCGCTTCTCCCGTCCTCATTGTATGTGACACTGCTTCTGTGCACGAGCTGCTCCTCATGATTCAGAACCTTGACGCCGTGTGACCAGATGCAGGTGGAGCCAGATCATGTGACCTCGGTGAGACTGATCCTGAGACAGCCGTCCTCGGCCTGGCTCACCTTCAGCCTGGAGCAGATCCAAATATTCCCCCAGGTGCCGCCGGTCAGTTCTGGCTTCATCTCTTGTTTGATAACTGAGAAGAACGAGTACTCACAACCTTAAGAAGTATTTTATGGTTTCATTTGGGGGGAGGCTTGTTCAGGGGTCAGCTGCCTGTAGGTCCTACTGTGTCAGTTAAACCTGCGTTCCCACTTAAGATGAAGAACTCCAGAAGCAAATGATCTGATGACCAAATGGTAAAGCTGACGTATCAGAACAGCAACGCACATAGAAGTAACACAAGCACATTGACTGACACACGTCCAGTGGTGCAGGTGGAGTCAGACGGGGAGAGCAGGTGGTGTCGTCTTCATTCAGCCAGCAGGGGACCAAAGGGAAGCTTCCTCCATCTGTGACTATAACCTTTGACTGTGAGCCATTTAAACCCCCAGAACCCAGAGAAGGAGGTTTCTGATTGGCTGTCTGACCTGACGCTGGGCGACCAGCACCCGGACCTGGAGGTGTGTGTGTGTGTGTGTGTGTGTGTGGTCAGTTGATAATCATTGTCGTATTGTCTGAAATAAGTTGGATTGGATATGTGAGGTGGGTGGACTCTGCTGTTGTCAATCTGCAGAAGTAAATAGTGAACAGTAATACACATGTTTGGTACTTCCTGTGGGTCTCCCAGGGCCTCCCGGACCCCCAGACTGTGTCATCCAGCCTCCAGCAGATGTGGGCTCTGACCGAGGTGATGCAGAGCAACCAGACCAGCGCCTCCATCGGACGGTATGATGTGAGTGTGACCGCCTGCTCCTCCTATAGCCTCATTTATTAATATATATACATATGTGTGTAGTCTTGCATAGAGACTCGAGGGCTGTTTCGTGTCTCCAGGTGGACGGGTGCTACGACATCAAGCTGCTCTCCCTGACGTGAGGCCTCCTGGCGCCACGTGGGACTCGCTTTGTATGAAGAGCGACCGTCCCAGAGACGAACATGGACCAAGTGCTGCGTGTTAGTTGCTGGAATTGCAATGCATGATGGGACATTTCCTGTGTAATGAGACAGTTGTAACATGCTCGGCACTACCAGGACATCCACATTAGAAATAACCACAGCGTCACGCTCAGCTGTTATTCATTCATTCATTCTGCACTGACCTCATTGGACGAGCTCTCACGCTTCCTGTGTGTGGATCCTCACACGCTGGGATTTTCTTTAGGCTTTTTACTAAAATGTTCACTACATTTCCTCTACATGTTGTCATTTCTGATTCAAACCTCTTTGTTGCTGTTATTGTCGCGCAACATTTCTGTATCGTCTGTGGTGGAAATAATAAATAAAGTTCTATGAATGTAATCCTGAACAGTCGCCTCTCTCAGACTATTATCCAACACACGCTGAGTAAAGAACGGGACTTTTCTCATTCACTCATCAGTGAGTGTGTGAAAATCAATGTCTTCATGTGGGAGACACTTTTAGCAATGGTGTTCAGAATAGAAAGTAAATGATATACAATATGAAGAAGTGCAAATGTCCGTCCAAGCCTCCATGAGAGCGATGGACCGGTCCGATCTGGTGTCGGCTGACTTTACTACTTTAGGAAATCAAAATAAAGAAATAGAAGTTAATGTGCTGAATGTGCATAAAACGTAACATAGGACCACATTAGAGCTTAGTGGTGCGTAAGTGGAGCCGGATAGAATGTGGTACCAACTCACTACTTCATGCTTCCTCCACAACAAATGTCAGGGGCAGAAAATATCAACCTTTTGCCTTCATCAATTCCAAAATGTCCAGCTTCCAGTGCTTCCAGCACTCTGACCACAGATTCTACACTAATTCTACATTCTACTCTTATTCTACATTCTACAGTAATTCTACATTCTACAGTAATTCTACATTCTACAGTAATTCTACATTCTACACTAATTCTACACTAATTCTACATTCTACAGTAATTCTACATTCTACAGTAATTCTACATTCTACAATAATTCTACATTCTACAGTAATTCTACATTCTACACTAATTCTACATTCTACTCTAATTCTACACTAATTCTACATTCTACAGTAATTCTACATTCTACACTAATTCTACACTAATTCTACATTCTACAGTAATTCTACATTCTACAGTAATTCTACATTCTACAATAATTCTACATTCTACAGTAATTCTACATTCTACACTAATTCTACATTCTACTCTAATTCTACACTAATTCTACATTCTACACTAATTCTACATTCTACAATAATTCTACCAACAAAAAAACGGCAGTTCCACACTACCCCCCCCCGGTTGAACCCACTCTCCTACCCCCCCTCAGCCGGACCATTTGCCCGACTACTGCACCCCCCCCCCCCCCCCCCTGAAGATGTAAACTACGGGAAAACGCTGCATCATCTTGCTTTAGTGTTCTGCAGCTTTGATGATACGAAGGAGGAAGAAGCTTCTGCTGAAAGAGCAACTGGAGCTTCAAATATCTGCAGGAGGTGAGTCAGTCAGGGAAGGAAGAACACTACTCATCACTCAATGGGATACGAGTGTGGAACACATTAAATACAATACAGTCTAATACAGTGCTGTAGTGGTAAGATTAGAGGTGGGTAAACTCTGAATGTTGTGATCATACAGACCTCGACGCAATGTGAAGCAACGCAACACAAAGCGTCGCGACTCTGTAAGGCTGTCCTGGCTATATTGCATTATGTTATCAGTAAAAGTCATATACAATCAATGACAATGAATACATGTGTTAGTAGTTTGTAGTCTATTAAATCTATGAAGACAGTGAAGAAAAATATGTCAACACAACACAACAAGACAATTGCAGATTAAGAACTATCTACATACGGAGTCTCCTTTTCACAGTAGTGCCCAGAGGGCCTCCTTGTCCTCCACGTCAGGTCCTGCCTTGCACAGAGGAGCCATGAACCATGAGCCATGGCTCCTCTGTGCTCCTCTCTCTATTGGACCTGGTGTTTCTCCTCTCCCTGTGCTCTCTGCATCATTGCCTGTCCTCTCACTGCCTGAACAAATATGTTGAATTTAAGAGTTAACCAGTTAAGCAGCCTGTCAATTACACTGACAACATGAGTTAAAGGAACACTCATGTACTACTATGTCATCATAAATAGCCTATACAGCATGTTTTTTTCACATTGAGAACTGACTTGTTTTCTAATCTACGCGTCACCAGGCGTTTTTCTTTCACCGTGCACGACCAGCGAACACAGAGCGCGCGACTACTACCCCCCGTCAGTCCTTCTCGACCGGTCCGCGAAATATTGTCTGACATGAAACCGGTCCGTGAGGTAAGAAAGGTCCACAGCGTGTTTGTTTACACACCTCCTGGATCCTGATTGGTCGCTGCTGCAGCCGCAAGGCGCTGATTGGATGCTCACAGACCGCAATACAGCGCAGATGAACATGATTCAGACTACGGCGTTTATATGTTCAACCATAGGAAACGTAGTCTGAGCTGTTTTAAAATTACACCAAGTTTATTTCGGATTATTCCAACGGAAGAATACAAGGCGCAGGGAACTTCGAGGTGCGTAAACGCTATTTCCAAAATTCCAGAGGTGCGTAAACGGCGTTTACGTGCGTTTACCCTCCACTACAGCCCTGGTCTAATACATTACTATTACAATGGACACGTGCAGTTATTGATACATCTGTATTGTTATAATAAAACATGTACTTACATTTAAAATCATATGATTCAGATAAAAGAGGCAAACTGAACCAACGTGAAGATGAGAACCACTGAGTTCAAATAGAACACACACTCTTTGTTATGGATGAACGACTCACTGCGAGCTGTTAATGAAGATTATTATATAAGATTATTGAATCCAGCTGCTTCAACAAAAGTGTCATCAAAATGAAGACGTTGTAATAAAGTTTAAAGATAGAAACAAAAATAACGTTTTCAAACTTAATAACAAACATTTAAACAAATCAAAAATAATTAATAATTAAGATAAACGTTTCTTTTGATTAATAAAACAGAATAACTGGAGCAGCTCGACATGTTAAAAAGAAACATCATGAAAACATTTATGATCTTCATCTCTATCTGCTCTAATCCAAAGTCACAAAGACCGTCAGAGGTGAGATCTTCACTTCATCTACTGTGTAAATGAATGGAAACATCCTCTCAGTGAAGGTGTGTGTGAAGGTGTGTATGTGTGTGTTAGTATCAGGATCAGAGAAACGCAGCTTCCCTCCGTTCCAGTCCAGATGCACTCTGATCCTCTGAGGCTTCTTCTGCACAGAGAGAACAGTGGCTGGAGCTGATGGTGACCGTGCATAGTATTCATCTTCATAGAACACTATTTCCAATATCCCAGACAGTACGGTTCCTTTCCTCTGGACAGACTCTGGTAACACACCCAGATACCAGAATCTACTGTCTCCTACTTCAACATTCCAGCTGTGAGTCCCTGAGTTAAATCCCTCAGAGCCCAGAACAACACAGCGTTCATCAAACCTCTCTGGATTATCAGGAAGCTTCTGTCTCTCTCCTCGTCTCACGCTGGTCAGATCTTCAGACAGGATGAGTCCTGGATGAGCAGTGTTTGGGTCCAGAACCACAGGAGTGTAGGAGACCATCTCCTTCATCTTGCTCCAGATGTTGTAGGTCAGGTTGCCCAGGTGTTTGGCCTGGTCTATCAGAGCTCCTGATGGCAGCTGGTGGTCCTCCAGCAGGGGGCGCTGCTGGACTCTTTCCACTGCAGCCTTGTAGTGGTTCAGGAAGGAGATGTCTTCAGCTCTCAGCTGCTCCTCTGTGGCTCTGACTGTGTCTGAAAGAGCTGCTATCTCTCTGCTCAGAGCCTCCATCTTCTCCTCCATCATCTGACTCTTCTGCTCTTCTTCCTTCTTCAGAGCAGAGATCCTGGCCTTCTCGTCCTTCTTTAGAAACCGGTGAAGCTTCTTAAACTGATCCTGAATCAGCCTCTCTGTGTCTCGGGCCTGGACCTTCATGTGTGCTGCTGTTTGATCACACGTCACTTTAACTTGTTCAAGGAGCTTTAACTTCTCCTTTAAGGCCTCCAGAGGTTCCTGAAGGTTCTTCTTGTGTTCTACAGCTGCTTCATCGATGGGTCTGAATCTGTGGTACGTGTGTTTCTGTGAATCTCTGCAGACGAGACACACTGGCTGCAGATGGTCCAGACAGAAGAGTCTGAGCTTCTCAGAGTGCAGACTGCAGAGAGTCTCTGAAGCTCTCTTGTCTCTCTCCACTGAGAAGGACTCACACAGGTTCTTTAACACCAGGTTTGAAGGTGGTTCTGATCTAGAAGATCTTCTCCTACAAACTGGACACTCCTGAGCTTGTTTCTCTCTCCACCAGCTCTTCAGACAGACTTTACAGAAGCTGTGGCTACATGACAGAACAACAGGGTTCTTGAAGACTTCCTGACAGACCGGACAGCAGAGATCCTCCTCGGATCTGGAAGCCATTTGGTCTCAAAGCGAAGCTGAAGACACAGAAAGTAGATCAGTCACAGCTTCCCTCCCTCTTCTACTACAACTTCACGGTTTCTACTCAAACTCACCTTCAGTCTGTGGAGCGTTCGGTTGTAGTTTCCCTCTTTTCTCTCCTGTAGAATCAATCAGAGGACGTCGTTGGTTTCTTCTTACGGTGAATCTGATCGTCTCTTGTCAGTCTGTGTGTCTCTCTTCAGCGAGAAGGAAAGATAAACTGGTTGGTCTCAGGTGAGTCAGGTGAGGGGAGGAGCTTTGTCACCTGTGAGGAATGTTGTTGGTTGACATGTCACACTGAGGTGTGTCCTGATTCCATTTGGATCCACAGGCTGATGCAACAGTCATGTGTTCAAATTTGAATCCAGGTTGAAGGAAGTGGAAGTTAAAATGTGCCTTTAATGGAGGACTATGGAGCATCAAGTGAAAGAGCTGAAGAGCAAAATAGTCAAAGAGCGATGTGATGTGCAGAAAAAGTGTTTTCATTTTTGTGAATAAATCGTACGTCAATTTATTCGGGCTCCTCACAGTTGCAGCTCTTTACAGATGAGTGCAGATGTACATAATTAGAAAAATGTTTTTTTACTGCAGTTACTGTGAGTACTGCAGTTACTGTGGGGTTGTCGTGGCGCAGGGGTTAGAGAAGGTGTGCTGGGAAGCACAAGGTTGGTGGTTTGATTCCAGGCTGCCCCATGTTCCATGTTGAAGTGTCCCTGAGCAAGACACCTAACCCCTAATTGCCCCCCTGTGAAAAAGCCATGTGTTTAAAGTGTAATGTAAGTCGCTTTGGATAAAAGCGTCTGCTAAATGACATGTGATGTAAAGTTCAGTCCATCAGGAACTAATTAAGACGAATAATCAGTCCCGAGCAGATTGATCACAGCGTGTCTGTTGACTGCGGAGTGAGACGTCTTCTACGTGGGGACGCTCTTCGCCAGGTGGCGAGTTAATGCTGAGCGTCAACAAAGAAGGACGCCATGCGGCAGCGGACGCCCAAATTGTCTCTGAAGGAAAAAGCAGTTTGTTTCAGCAGTCTAACGTGCACACTCCTCCATCTTTGGGCTCGAGGTGGAAGATCTCAAGTGGCAGGTAAAAGTGAACGTCTTCTTCTGTGAGTCCGGAGTGTGTCTTCTGATAATTAATGTGTCCTTGCTGTTACTACCACAGTAGAGCGACACCAGAGGCCCACTAGATGGAGCTGCTGCTCCACCCGCCCCCAGCGTCCTCCTCATGTCTGAACCATCTTTGAGGGATAAACTCTGTCCTCTGATCACCATAATCAGAAGTGATGCTGGAATGTCCCATAAAGCAGAGAAGGTGCGTGATGAGAGACACTGAGTCTCATGGAAACCACTCTGGACCAAAATCCAATTTCCAGAGCACTGATGGACTGTCAGAGCGATGCTAATTGCCCCCCCCCCCACCCCATGTCCCACCCCCCTCCCCTCAGTTGGACAGAAGAAAGACTGGCAATCAAAGTCACACTCATTACTGTCCACTTCCTTCAGATGGCTTTTCGGCCCTTTAGGAGCAGCCGAGCGGTAACCACGTTATGTGAGGGGCTGAACCCCCTCGGAGGATGATGGGGAGGGGGGTCCGTGCGTCGTGCCTTTACCCACCTGCAGGAACGTTCTGCTGCTGTGAGATGCATGAAAGCAGCACAGAGAACAAGAAGAAGCAGCTGAAGCCTTTTCAATGTGTACAAACGATTTACCACTTTGCAACAATCAGGAACACGAAAGTGAAGCAGGAGGAGCGACGGGTTTCCAGTCTGAGCCTTCAGACGGTGTGCTGAACCTGCTGGGGGGAGAACCAGGACCTGCACGGCCGGTACGGTGGAGATGAACCCATCACACGCTCAACGTACAGAGGAGCGACTACGTCATTGTGTTGCTGTGCAGGATTGTGTGTTTCCTCCAAACCGACGAGCAGCGCGTTGTCGACTCGTTCTGACAGCTGATCGCACTTTGTGTTGATCCTAAGGCGTCGTTGTCGACACGTGACAGCCGAGTGTGTCGTTTTATTCAGTTGTACATCCAGTTTGTGTCTGTTGAAGGCTGATGGAACCACAACGCCGTCTCTTCAGATGGAACGTACTGTTACCTCGTCTTTTGTAATAATGTGCGTTTACTCGAAACATCTCGGAGGCCATAATGTACTTTTTCGTGCTCCACAATAACGTATCCAAACACAAGGGGCCTTATAATATAAATACCCCCCCACAGCAGTAAAGGTAGAGAGAAGTATTTCTGGATGTCTGACCACGTGGACCATATTTGATGGATCAGTGGACCCCCCCCCCCCAAAAAAAACACAGAAGTCCTTTTTTTGTCTTTAGTTTTCCAAGAATAATTATTGGGACACTTTTATTGGCAGTTTCCCTGTTTCCCGGGCCCATTTTCTTGGGGGGGGGGGGGGGGGGGGGCGTGCAGTCGGGGTCGCAACCTCTTCTTTTTATTGAAACCACTGAATGGTTTTAGCTGCATTTACGTCAAGAAGCTCCTCATATTCCGAGCGGATTCCATTGAGTCCTTATGTTCGTAGCTGTTAGTTAAACAGGTTCATCTTGTTCAAGCAGAACTACGAACAGTTATCCACAAAAAATACACTCAATTACAAAATCAGACAATCAAATACAAAAAAGTTTGCTAAAGACGGACGGACCTTGACTAGTTTCTGAGTGATCGTCATTAGGAAGTCACACGGCTCCACTAGCAGAGAATCACTCATTTGGTTACAAAACAATTGTGTATCAGAAAAAAAACATGTGGATGCATTGACAGAAAAACATGTTTTTCTTCTCTTCAGAACGAGAAGCTGTCATTAATAATTGGGTCCTATTATCGTCCTGTGCTGCACAAAAGCTTGTTATTTAGATGCAGATTGACTTGAGAATAATACGGTGGAGATATTTGATACCACGAATGTCAAGGTTAATAATACGCCTCTTCACCATCTGCAAAACACGGAGGGATGGCAGGCTTCATCAAGGGGGGGGGAAGCATACGTTGGTACACAATTGATGATGCAATGAATGCAAGAGAAGAGTCTGAGTGGGTCCTCATTGTAAAGGACTTTCAGACACTGCAAAGTCTGCATGCAGAGAAAGAGAAGACATGTGGATCCATGAAAATACTTCACCTTTAATGGACTTCTATAGCAATTTTGCAGAAAAGGTCCCGGAGAATCGTCAGCGCGCTCTGACGCGCTTTGAGTCCATCGATCTCCGGCTGCAGACCTTATTGAGGCTCCTCAGGACGCACGAGAGGAATACAGAGAGGATTCATCTGCTGAAGAGCGGCAGCGAGACGCAGCAAAGTCGTTTGAGGCGAAAGGCCGCGAGAGGCAGCTCGGCACTCAGAGGATGAATTGTTGAAATGACGGTTGAGCAGCATCTCGTTGAATAAAAGATGGACACCAGGACGCGTCAGGAGAAGTTTAGATCACGTAAACAGAGATATCAGGTAATCATGTGTTTGGTTAACACTGTCGCTGTCTGCCTTCTGTGTGTACAGAAGCAGCACGCGGGTCCGTCCAGCAAACGTTACGTAGCACAGCAATGCTAATGCAAGTTAGCATAAAGCTCCTTGTGGCTCTCCTGCTAACGAGTGTCACCACCACACAACGTTTGGACCGGCTACAGATCCCCCGAACCGGCCTGGACATCTGGAACACCTGGATCCAGCCGGGCGATGCCCCCCTGCTCTTAAGCTCTAAGTTGTCACTCAATGCTGATTGGTCAGCGGCACAGAGGAGCTCTTCAGCCTCAGTGTGGGAACCTCTCCGCTCCGTCCCATGAAGATCGTCCCAGGTGCCGCGGCCCTGCAGCTCTATCGGCCCCGGTGTGGATTTCATCCCAGAAGGCAAACACACTGGAATCATATTAAGGGAACAAATTGTATAATTAGACGTCAGGCGGGGAGAGAAATGACATTATTCTCATTATTCTCCCAGGATGGTGTTTAGCATAAGTCGTTTATGCATTTAGAGGGATGACCCAGTAGACACTTGATTTAGGGAAAACTATTAATTTTAATGTTGACTGACACAAATAAGCATTTGTTTTAATTTACAGGCTGCCACAGAGGTGCAGGATTTTTGTATTTGAATTTTTTCACATTTCTTGTGATCAATTTGGCTTGACTTTTAAAAAAATGGGTTACTTTTCTAAACAATTATTATCGATTACCATTGAATTCGGTTGAGACATTCATGGTTCCCAGAGGATGAATCCCTTTGATACCGAAGTTTGATAAAATGTGGTTCATAAATCAGGTGGACACCTTAATGGGTCCAACACTTTGGTTTATAACCAAACACCTCCAGTAATAATGTATTTCACATCAGCTTCTATCAGCGTTGATGCCTCCTCTGGGGATGTGACATGACGGACATTTAGCAGTTAAAAGCAGCACCAGTGAATCGACCTCATGGAAACTCTGGTCCCTCCTTTAACTCGTCTCACACACATAGATGATACAGACATCGGTCCCACTCAGAGGAATTTGGTACTTTCATATTAGAAGTCAAGACTTTAGCCAACAAAACTGAAAAAAGTGTGTTTTTGGACAGACTATGTTGTCAACCTGAGACGTGTCTCGCTGTATCATTGTATTATTTATACTTTTTTAAACCGGAACTAGCGGGAGAGACAAAGACTGCTTTCCAAAATTGGACCCAATGAGCCACACCCACTCTAAACCACGAGCGCCAGGTGAAGACAAAGCTCTGCGAGATCTCCATGGACCCTTTGGAGCTGCATTGGAAGTCGTTCCATCGAGCTCAGCCTCCAGTGAAAGGTATGTGGACTCCTAGACTCCTCGGTCACATGCTTACATCTCAATTGTCTGGCAAAATGTGTTCAAGTTGCTTTTTTGACTCGTACCTGAACTTCCAAAAAGAGGGAAGATTAATGGAAGAGCTCCTTGGCGGAGGGGAATCGGGGGTTGAGCTCAGAAAGTAATTCCTTCCTGAGAGAAAAAGCTCCTCTTGGAGGAAACATCTACACTCTGATTCATCTCAACATCTCTGTCTTACTTGGACTTGGTCGAGGTTGGGATGTTTCCTTTAAACCTCTGGCTTCAGCCTGGGCCTCGGATGAAATGGTGATCCATGAGCTGCCCGTAGCCTCCATTTCATTGTCCTTTCTTAAAAACAGCGGAGGAGGTGGGGTGATTGATTCGTCCCCGATTCACTTTTGCCCTGAAGGAGAGAAGCAAAATGG